GGTCCCAAAGTTATTGATGGCGACCGCAACTTCCAGGTTTCGAGATTGGTCCGCCCAAAACTCAGAGGGGGCGTTATTTAAATGATCCTTACAGTATAAAGATCAGAATACGTTCGAGTCTATTTTACGGGGTGCCCCTATTTGTGAATGGAAATCTCCACATATTGGTGAATCTGTTGGGGCATACAGAGGCGATTCAAAAGCGAATGTAGTAGTAGGGGCCAGTGATTGGCCAACATCTAACTGGAGTTTGTCAAACTCGGGATCCCCTACCTAATGTGGGGCTGCTACAAATTGGGGCCCAATATGGATGCGGCATACTAGAATCGTAATCAGCAGGGCTCCCTAACCGTTGAACTTCCTCATATACTGTCCGTAGATGGATGGAACTTGGGTTTACAGGTTCTGACACAAGAGCCTGGAGCCACAATGCAATATCTGAGCACTTGAGCCCCGCAGCCAATGCTTTGAGAACGTCTGCTGTGTGTTCAGGAGTCCGGCTAAGTTCTAGAAGCCCAAAAAGGAGAGCGCATCAAAAGTTGCGGGTGGGGAATCCTGAAGGACAAGCAGGCGAACACATGTTGAGGTCTGCATGTGCAATAGCACATTGAAAGGCTTGTTGTATCAAGCACTGCTTGCGCTACATGACTGCTGGTCCTTAGGCTCCGCTGCTTCGCTTGTGGTGTGGATGTCTCAGCATGACTGTGAGGTCCGGAGTCGTTCTAGCCAGGGGTATTTAGAGAAGTGTGCAAAGGGCGAGGTGTACCTGCCCAGAAATTGCCGCTGCAGTGCTCTTCTCAGCTGCTTGGATAACAAACGGAGATGTCAACGTGGTGACACGCCGGACAGCTTAAGGCAGCTGAGGCTTTTGAAACGAAGTAAAGACAGAAGTGTGCAGGGAGAGAAAGCAGTTATAACCCTCACATAAATATTGTATATGTCCAACAAAACCCAACTCTGACGATTTAGCACCCTACATTACACTTGCAAAGCTCACGGGAAGCTTCTTGGCCTCTACTGGCTTTTTTGCCTCCGCCTCCTCCAGGTCCTTCAGTGCCTTGAAATGTTGGATTCTTTGGGCCGAGAGGACTGATCCTTACCAGGACAAAGATGCATACATAATCCCCCATATAATTTTAGCCTGTGTAGGTCATAGTGGTCGCTGCACTGGAAGAGTCTACGCATGGCTGGAGCATCTAGGGTTGTGGGCCTGGTCTCTAAGGTTGCGTAGGAAAGCATTAGGGCAAAGGGGCTCAGGGAAACGTGCTGAAGTAGATAAGCCGTGGACCTCGGAGAACATGGGAGTCTGATTGTGAGTATACTGGCTTTAGGCTACGAACTTCTGCTTGGACCTCAATGGACACTTTGAACATAATGGGCCTTGCCTGAGTGCTCCCTTGCACTACGGCGCCTTCCTTCTTCGGAATAGCATCACGTGGATCTGGGAAACTACCCCCCATACTGATGCATTGGCTGAAGATGAACAGGGTTCAGGCAAAGGAGGTCCGTGGAGAGTACGGGGATAACCACTTCTTGACGCTGTTTTGAACTTCGTTCCTTCCTGAGCCTGAGTACCCCGCACAGTACCTGAAACTTAGTGCAGAGGTTTGACAAAGTAGGATCCAGGGTTGAAGGCAAAGGGCGTGCAAGCATGCCCCAGCGCCCTTTACTGCCCTTTCCCATGTAGAATCAATGGAGTCTAGAGAGGACCCCAAGAAGGCGGCGGCGGCGCCCTTTCCCAAATCATACATTCTTAACCTTCCCTCCTAAACACAGCCCTAAACGTCCAAGTGCCTGAACAGGATGTACTTTATCTAGAGTTTAGGGTTTAGGGCCTTAAACCCTAAACCCCTAACGGCCGCCCAACATCCAAAACACGCCAAGGCCGGCCTGTTGTTGCTTCGACAGCTCGGTCTCGCCCAGGACCTCTTCATGGTGCTCAGAGCTTACGGGTTAGCGCTTAAGGGGACAAGGAAAAGTTAAGGTATCTAAAAAGGGATGACGGACAAATTTGCTAGGCTCTATAAATCATAACCCCAAGGAGGCATAAAGAAGGACATACAGAATCATAAACATATAGTGGATATAATCATTCTCAGGTCTACATAAAATGTTCGCATTGGGCCACAGTGACTGGGCGGAGGCCTAACCAAAGCAGCTAGTCCATCCCTGGAAATCTTGAAGCTCAACCATGGACGAATGTAGTCCCACAGAAGCTGTACGGTCAAGGGTCTGAGTCTTGCGGCCAAACCTTAGACCCTCAGCCCGGGAACGATTTAAAACCAGGTGTGGTCTTCAAGAGACTTGCTTCGATAATTTTCGATTAAAGGTTTTGAAGAGGTTGAATCCTACAAAACAATAAGCCCTATTAACCGGCTCAATGGGAAAGCATCATGGAGGCTTGGTAGAGCCTTATTGCTGAGACTCCATAGAACTGGGCCCTCAGGTCATACTGCCCCAAATTTGGAGAATCAAATGAAAAAAACAATGGCACATGAAATGGGACAACTGGGACTGGCTTTATCTTGTCGCGGCTTGTCCCAAAAAACCGGAGCCCCTTTTGGGAGTCTTACTGACAAGGATTGACATATTGCATGCTCAGCTCTGTATTTGGGGGACGCATCTTTCGCTAAACTCCGGACACACGAATGCCAATCCGCAGAATAGATCATCAAACAACGAAACTTGCACGCTTGCTTCCTAACAGCGCCTTGCTGCAGTAGGCTGTGCAAGTACTTTGTGCTTTCATGGGGTCTCCTAGCCGCCGGTCTAAGTTGCCACATAAGACTCAAACGTGCTTAGGGAACACATAGCTACCTTAAACCCATAATCCAACGCAGGCCTGCCGCTACATTTAGGCTGGAGTCCCAAGGAACCCCCCCGAATAGGACAGAGCCCCTGACAAGGCCACGCAGAAGGAACTTATGAGGGGGGGATGGGGGCGGTTCTTGGAGAATCTGTGCCATCTACTCTTTTTGTTGGAATCTACTTGATCATTACAATGCTGTAACTGTACCCGCCTGAAGCGCTCCGGCCAGTGCCGCAACTTCCACGCGGTAGGTCGCGGAGAAACAAGCCTGACCTGCTCGCAGCACAGAAATGTTGGGATATAAGGCATTCTACAAGACTGCAAAAATTCCACTATCTATGCATGTCGCGTTTTCCTAGACAGTTGGTGTTCATGTTGGACCTAATGGATGGTTCTGATTATAAACCCCCCGCCCCCACACAATTAACCACTCAAAATAATGAGGGGTCCACCACTTAAGTTTTAAATATTAGTAAATTAAGTTACTATATTGGGGAAACCCTATTATTTACTACATATACCCATTATGGTAACTTAATTTAAGTTCCTTAACAGCAACCCAGTCATATGCCGCCCAGGATATTTCTGCAGACCGGACTGAGGGAAGCTATAGGAGGGTTGTGTCGGCGTAATCACGTGAGGTCTTCAACAGCCGATCTGGCAGTTAGTTTATCTCCAGAACAGCTATCTTTGGAGGGCATGATGTGCGGGTAGCTTCCGTTTGAGCTCTAGTCTGAACTCAGAATATCCCCTGAATAATTCCTACAATACTGCCCTATACTTATAACCCCTTTAACGAATTTGCACTATAGGTCATTTGAAGCTTCAGAGCTTAGCCGTCTGAAATGTGTTGTGCCATCTTCTAGGGTTTAGGGTTTAAGGGCTTTAGGGTTTAGGGGTTTAGGGTTTACAGGACAAAGTTCGCTCATTTTCATTGGGCCGAAAGTTCTAAGCCCTAGTCCGTAAACCTTACAGATACTACTCACAATGCCCCAGTAAACAAAGGTTCGATTCGCCAGGAGCGTTCCAAGGGCAACCTGCGACTCCCTGTTAGTTTGGGTACTGCCCCCACCCTGTAACAGTCTAAAATATTGGTACTCTTAAGAGGGCAAATCTCTCTATGTATATATATATATATATTATATACATATATGCATATACGCCTATACTATAAACATTCTCCAGTTGTGGGCAGTATCCAGAGTTTAGTACATAAGGAGTGAGGCAATGGGACATAGGGACCCTTACTGGTGGTTTGATGGGGACTACTGCAGGCATCCATTCCTTCACTTTTTTTTTAATGAATTCTCAGGTGAATGATGAAACTCTTGTGATGGAGGCTGAGGCTACATTTGGAATGCTTGCGCCTTTTACGCGTGTCTGGGTGAGATTTTATCAGATGTCAGAGTGTGCGCTCACTGAAATTCGGAGAGCCTACAGAAATCTAGCGGAAAAAGCCTCCGTGTCCATGAGAATGGGGTTCCAAAATCACGGATCTATTTTAAGTGGCACAGTACTACTCGGAAATTCCCATTTGGGCATGCACGTTTCTTGCGGTCCCGAAGGTGTGGAGACAAACTGAATCATCTCTTTGGAGTCACTGAAAAAAGAAGCAACATACCTCCACGAGCTTGAAAACCAATCTTGATACCCATAATGCCTAGTAGCAGAGCCCCAGAGAGCAGCCAGCCCTCAGCTGTGCGCTGTCTCATACAAGCACACGTACTTCTGTTATCCCCATAAGGTCCCTTAGGCTACGCCGACTCCATTTCCCGGCCTGCATGTGCTGCCAAGAACTTGCGAAGTGCTGCCAGTTGCTCCTGTGTTCACCCTAAACCCTAAACCCTAAACCCTTGTTAATTTCTGCCCGCAAGGTCGATGACTCAGCTCGGCAAGTGAGTTGCACCGGCTTGCATCTGAAGCGGGCTCAGGCCCGGAGGTTGTGTGAGCAGGGTAGAAAAGTCCTGCGCTTCCGCATGGTTGTCCGTGCACTGCTCCTTGACTAAGCTGTGCACTTCCTTTACAACCAGGGCATTTCCTTTCTTCATTTCTCTTCTTTGTCATTCAGATCCTCTTCATTCGCTGGCCTGTGGACCACCAGTGCAGAAGTTGAACATCAGCCCCACTTCTGCACTGGTAGCGGAGCCGAAAGTTCCAGAGGCCTCTGGGTGCCCATTGGGTGTCAAACTGAATGTCAGAGCTTGGCACGAATCCTAAGCTCCCCACCTGGGATGGTGATTGGCGCACGTTTTCTGATTACAAGCTGGCATGTTGGCTGGAGTATGATGGCCTGAAGCCGGATGATCAGGTTACCCTGGCACCAAGGTTGACTCGCAACCTGACTGGAAAGGCCTGGGAGGCGTGTGCCGATATCGACAGGGAGAAGCTTCGCAAGGAGAAGGGCCTAGAATATCTTCTTGAATTTCTGAAAGGGAAGCGTGGAAAGCAGCAAGTGGATATTCTTGGCGAAGCCTTCGAGAAGTACTTCCAATCAGGTGAAGTGGTGCGAAAGGATAAAGAGAGTCTGAACGACTTTGAGCAACGCCTTGCCGTTTTCACTCGAGACATCGAACGAGCCCTAACTGAGCTGGGAGTGACTGACAAGGTGCCTTCTGAAATTTATGGCTGGTTTTTGCTGAACAAGCATGTGAGACTGGA